CGTGGAAAGACTTGATCCAGCGCGACGCGATCGATGGTCGCATCTAACTGCGTTGGTGCGATCTGGCCAAGTGCCAGGTGCTGACAGAGCAAACAGCCATCGACCGCAATGGCGTGCATGTGATCGCCGGAATGCCAACCGGCGACGTCGTGCGAAACCGTTTCGGCTTGGTCGTGATGATGATCATGACCGTGGTGATGGTGGTCGTGCCCATGATCGTGGGCCACCACGTGGCGATGCGAATGTCCCGGCAAATGCGCGTGCTCGCAGCCGGACCAGGCATGGATTGCCTGACCGAAAAGCTGGATCACCAGATAGCTGGCGACTAGCGCATAACAACCGACACGATGCATGAAATGCGTATACCGAAAAAGAGAACCTTTGCGTAGTCCCTTTATTCTAAGCACAGCAAACCGAAATGCTCAACGCATTCATCGACACTTAATGGGAATTCGCGGTATTTACGGCCACCATGAGAGGGGGCCGAAAAGCTTGACAGCGGGGCCGATTGCGGTAGGCTGCCAGCTTTCCGCCCCAATCCGATCTGTTTCAAAGGCTACGCACGATGCACTCACGTCTCTGGACACTTTGCCGCGTCACCATTTCTCTTACGCTGCTGGCACTCGCGATTCCGGTAGTGGCTCAGGATGCGGCCCGGAACGTTCCGGTTCTGGAAGCAGTAGACGAAGTCGTAGCCAAGCATGTCGACGACGACTTCGTTTCCGGGGCGGTTACGTTGGTGGCGGAAGATGGCAAGATCGTGCATTTGAGTGCGGTCGGCCAGGCCGATATCGAAGCCAATAAGCCGATGACACGTAACACGATGTTCGCGATCGCTTCGATGACCAAGCCGATTACGGCAACCGCATTGATGATTTTGGTCGAAGAAGGGAAAGTCGACCTGGACGATCCGGTTTCTAAATACATTCCCGAATTCGCCGACGTTACGTTGGAAGGAAAGCCACTGGAGAAACCGATCACGCTGCGTCAGGTGCTGACTCATACGGTCGGCATGGGTGGC